TAAAAGCTCACTTTTTTTTTTTTTTTTTTTTAATCAATATAACATATATTCTTATACAACAACAACAATCATTCAGTCAGTCAAATTTGTTTTTTAAGGTGATGGCTGTTGGCAGGAAGGAATTCCTGTATCTCTCCGTTCGACAGCGAAGCTGACGCAGCCTCCCACTAAACACACTCTGTTGGTTCTTCACTGTGTTGTGGGGGGAAGAATCCTCCATCATCTTCATCATCTTGTGCAGCATTCTTTTTTGAACAATCAGCTCCAGTGGCTCCAGAGTTATCCCCAGCACAGAACCAGCTTTCCTGATCAGCTTGTTTAGTTTCTTTAAGTCTCTGGTTCTGATGCTACTGCCTTAATGTGTATAATAAATATAAATAATAATGTGTAGGGTTTTAGTGTTGGAAAATAAGAGGTACTTATTTTCACACACTAAAGCAAGTGATTGCATTAATTACAATTATTAAAACTAACCTTTGAATTATTCGTCCAGCGATATAATCTGAGTCAGCATAATAATTCTAATAAATTGTTTACTCTTGGTGCTCAGTCAAGAGTGTTTTATAAAGTTAAGGGAATTAACTTAGAGCTTAGGTAACTAAAGATCACATACGTAAAGTGACAGGATGTAAGCCATAGAAAACACAGGAAACAACTGTATACAAACACACAACATTTATTACTAACTAAACAAACAAACAAATAACAACAACAAACATAAAATATAAAATACAAACAATGATGAAAATGCTGGTTGAGAAATATGAATGTGAAAACCGAATGTGGAACAGAGTGGTGGCTTGGAGACTTGAAAGTCTTTTCACCCGAAGCAGCAGATAATCTGTTAAATTTGGAATATTGGTCAGAAGGCCAATTATAATCATAAAACACCCGTTTAGAGACAGAAGCTTGATACTTGCAGTTTCCAGGGTGCAGCAGCCTCTGGGAGACGAGGCCTTCAGCTTGAGTTGGATCAGGGTGTGGCAGTTGAAGTTGAGCACATGGAAGACCAAGTAAGCAGCTCTCCTGCCTCATGGAGAGAGCCAGAAGAGGGAGCGATGGAAAGAGAGAGAGCATGCTTCCCGGGTGAAAGACTTTAAGTGAAACTAATGACCAATCACAGCGAGCTCCGCTCCCAGGGGGGCTGTTAGATATGACGCCCCAGTATCACCGGGAGGTCATGAGGTGGTCATGAGTTTTGCTCTGAAAGTAACAATGTTCCTTCAGAACTATATGTACTTTCAATTATACAACGTTAAGCTTGTTGGAAATGAATGTGTCACATGTAAAGCTTCATGGGGAGTCTAAACATGACTGAGCTATCTTGTACGGTTACAGAGATAACACAATGCTTAGGATATGATAATACAACAAGCTGATAAATTAAAGAAGGACTTATCCAACTGTAATTAAGCTTTGGAGTATTTATCAGGATATGATATATCATAACATTTAACGATTAAACTTAACACAAGATAATAAGGCACATCTTCTGGTGCTGTGTCTTATTGTTCATTGATGAGTTCAGTTCTTGCATGCCACAGGAAATGAGGGGTCAGCAGAGCAATACGTTAAGCCCAGGGCACTTCATTGCGCCTGGCCATCTGGACCATTTGTTAAGGTCTGAGTGGTCTTGAATGTTTTTCTTTGTCTTCCCCCAAAAACTCATGTGTATTAGATCCTTTTAAGTGTGATAAGGAAATTCCCAATGGGGCTGTGCTTCCTCACTCCTCCGAGTCTGCAGAGCTGATTTACAAGGCCCTGTGACTTGGGTGCTGCAAAGTTCAAATGAAGTTTTCCAAATCCTTTTGGGCATCTGTGTCTGTCCATATCCTACAAATGTATGTATAATAAATATAAATACTTAATGTGTCCTCATATGAGATTACTTCATGTAAAGTCCTTGCCCTTTATGCTTCAGGCTTTTCTTTTTGGTCTTCTTATGTGTTCCCATTTTACCGCATTCCCCTTTCTCTGAATTTTTTAGAAAATTCACTGTATATCTTTGCTACATGCCATTAAATGAAACGGCCAAGAAAAAGCAGAACCTAAACTTATAGGAGGAAGCTGCAACAGTGAAGGGCTGTGTGAAATAATTACCTCAGCTGAACAACTAAAGTGACAGAACTTGCTCTGGAAAAAAACATTTAAGAACATTTCAATACAGTTTGAATGATTTTATTGGTTACATTTCAGATGGTTAATCTTTCTTTTTTTTTTAATCTAAAATGATCTTTTTCTTTGTGTCTGCAGAGTAAGAAGGATTTTTTTCTGCAGGTTGTCCACAATAAAATAATACTTACATGTATGCAAATCAATTTATTTTTGTGATTTAATATATAGCAAATATAGAATGTAACAAAAGCAGATGTGTCCTGAAAAAGATTAAAACACAAGAAGATGATTTTGGTCTTCTTTTTTATGAATTTGTATTGCATTTTAGTGCAGGAGAACAATATCTTTTTCCTCTTGTTGACTCCAAAGTGGGAAATGTTTGTGTTCCTCTCGTATTTACAGTAGGTTGTTCAGTGGAGATGATATTCAGTAGTTGCTCAAAAAACTACTTGGACTTACTTTAAGTCTTGAAAGATGGGAAGTCCCCATAGGTTACAATAGTTTAACAGGAAAGTTGGTTCTTGTTCTATTGCTCTTTGCATTTTGATGCAAGCCTTCTTAGTAAAAGAATTTATAGTTTATTTTGTAACTATGGACTGACTCCACAAAAAAAATCAGTTATTTCATATGATATTTGATTAGGGTTTTGTTTAGATGAAGTAAGTGAAAAGACAGGAGATGTTGATTCGACAAGATTTTATTTCAACTACTACTAACTACGCTAACTACTGTGGTATTTTTTTGACTTTACATAACATAAATTTTGTTGCAAAAATCATTAAGATCCTTAAGTAAAATGTTAAAACAAACTTGTAAACGCAAAGTTATGACAAGTCCTCAAACCTGATCAGTCATGCTACTGCTAGCATGAGGGTTATATAGAAGGTTGTACCAGAGGGAGGAGATAACTAGATAAATAATCCTTGTAATATGTGACAATGCTGTTGAAAAGATCTGTTCAGATTTAGATTAAAAAACAACATGGTCAGGATCAGGGTTAAAAGAACCAAGTAAGCAGGTGGTTAAAGTTAACAAACAGTGGTCTCCTGTGAGCAAGTGCAATGGTTTGTTGACATATCCATCCATCCCAACCTCATCCATACATAGCCCCGATCCCATTTATCAGAGTCCTCCACTTAGATCATAGTCCCTCCCACCAGATATGCCAGTCAAGGAAGCAAAGAGGCATGAGAAAATAGAAGTCAAAGCAACACATATTGAATCCTCACCTTGGAGCCGTTGTTTTAAAGTCAATAAAATATGAGTGACACAAGAACATTATTTTTCTATTGTTTAGCTACAGCCTACTGCTGTAGTTGATCATTTCCATCAGATAAACAAAACAGTGTCCATGACAACTTAAAGAATATCTAAACTTTTACTTTTACACCTCCTTTATGTGTGCTGAAAAGACTTCTGCAAAGCCTATAGTAAGGATACACCTCTGCATCCTTGCTCATAATTTCTTTGGCAAACCTCCTCTCTCCTTGAGATTCATTTTATGAATAGAGACATACTTTAAAATCCCACACTAAAAACAATTTCTGGGTCACAGGCAGGAAGATGGAAGAGCAGAGGAGGCTCAAAATAGAGGCTATTTGTGCTCATGGTCTGAAATCATCAGCTATCTGGTTGCTCTTCCAAGGAATCAGCTTCCAGTTTGGGGGTGGTCGCCAAACACTCTCTGTACTTTAAAGATCTGGCTTAAAACCTTCGTTTTTGCCAAAGTGTATTGTCAGGACTGGCTCAGGTGACCCTGAAGATGTCTAAGTTATGCTGCTGTAGGCTGAGACTGTTGAGGGACTTCCCATGATGCACTAAGCAGTCATCCTTAACTATCCTCTCCACTTTCTCTCTCAAAACATATATATGCCACCATTGCTTGTAGTTAACTGTGTGTCACCTCCCTCCTGTAGTTTGTGTTTTGTCTTCATTGAAGGTATCTCTGGATGATTTCTGATCTGCAATCACTGACCTCACCAACCTCCAAGATGATCTTTTATGTGTTGTTTGTCTGCTTTCTGTCTGCTACCCCAATCTCTCTCTCTCCTCCCTTTACCCCAGATAGCCTCCTGGCCTGAGCCTGGTTCTGCTGGAGGTTTCTTCTAAGTAAAGGGGAGATTTTTCTTCTCACTGTTGCCAGTTGCTGCTCAGAGTTGAATCCAGTGGAGTCTTTAGATTTGTTGGGCTGTACTCACATTCACTAAGGCCTTCACCTCAGCATGTGAAGTGCCTTGAGATGACAAATGTTGTGAACTGCTGCTATAAAATAAAATTGAATTGAATAATTCACTCTAATTACAAAGGAGCCATGGCGTTTTATATCTTTATCTGAGCTATATATGAAAGGCACAAAGCTGATATCTTTATGCATAATGTATAATGTGTTACAGGGGACAAGGATAAACCGGGACGCAGGAAGATAGCACTATGGAGAAGAGTGAGACAGCAGACACAGGGAGTGAACACAAATGAACCCACAGCTGAAAGAAAAACCACTGAATTATATAGACAAAAGGAAGTGATAGACAACAAATGTGACACTAATGTGGGCTGAGTAAACAGTCACACAAAGAAGGGAAGTAAAATTGGCAAACACACAAGTTCAGTGATAAACTAAATATAACAGTGACAGTATCTTAAAAAAAGGTAAAGCATATAGGCCTGAAAGAATGTGTCCAACGTAACTTATTTCAACTCCGATGAGATTAAAATGAGTTCACAAGTACTCACAAGAGAAGGGAAAACTTTTTCTTACTCTTTTCATGAACAAGGCACAAGAGTAATCTTGTGCCTTGTTCATGAAACTACAGTTCTGTTTTCTTTTACAACATCTGAACAGGGAAGTGTTTCGCCTGATCTATTGCGGCTGTGCTGAAATTCTGAAATTGCACGATTAGTACCTAACAGGTTCTCCTCCGTTGCAGAGTTCTCATCCGGTAAGGAAAATGTGACAGATTTGATTCATTTTTGTTCGCCAGTTTCTTAAATTTCTATTCTGGGATGAAAGACATTTTATTAGCTTGAGTTTAGCGTAGTTGGGTTAAAATGCAATTTCAAAATAATGCTTTACATCATAAATGTCTTTTTTAAACCCAAAGAACATGACAAGTTTCTGGTTTGATCCTATAGTTAGATTATTAGTTATTGATTTTTACAGGTGAGGAGTTTGATGCCAGTCCTGTTGGTGAACATCATGACAAGCAACATGTTACTGAGCCTCCTCTTTATTTCAGGTAAGCTGTTTGATTTTAGGAGCTGCAAGGTGGAGCCGTGGTTAGTACTGTTGCCTCGCAGCAAGAAGGCTGCCGGTTCGCATACCGGTGAGAGGACACCCGGGATCTTTCTGCATGGAGTTTGCATGTTCTCCCCATGCAGCGTGGGTTCTCTCCAGGTTCTCCGACTTCCTCTCACAAGTCCAAAAACATGTTAAAGTTAATTGGTGATTCTAAATTGTCCTAAATTGTGAATGTAAGTGTGCTTGGTTGTCTGTCTCTCTGTGTAGCCCTACGATAGACTGGCGACCTGTCCAAGGTGTCCCCCGCCTTCGCCCTAAGTCAGCTGGGATAGGCTCCAGCCCCCCCCCCCCCCCCCCCCCCCCCCCCCCCCCCCCCCCCCCCCCCCCCCCGCGACCCTAATGAAGATTAAGCGGTGTATAGATAATGGATGGATGGATGGATGTTTGATTTTAATCATTTGTTCAAAACAGACTGCAGATAGCGATACTTTACAAAGACATTATATTCACAGTATGTAGGAGGAAAGACCAGCAAGAAACACAGGGATGCTTAAGTAATTTTTCCGAATTGTAAATGTTCTCTTCATGCAGATGTTTACTATTTATCATGATTCTGATTCTGGTTTTACAGGCACCTTGGCTGATTGTCCTCATGTCGCCCTCGACATCACTGTACCAACAAGCATGGAAGCACTGAGTGGATCTTGTTTGCAAATCCCCTGTAACTTTACAGCTAGACCAGGAAAACAATTTTGCAGCCAGAGAGCTATGTTTGGAGTTTGGCTCAAAAAACACATCAGCTTTCTCACATATCCGGACAATGTTATTTTCAACAGTAGTGGGTCAGTTAACCCCTATCCAATGGAAATTACTGGAAACCTGAGTCAGGGAAACTGCACCACTGTGTTTTCTAATTTAACCACCACTCACACAGACAAATACTTCTTCAGAATTGAGAACTGGCCATTCAGGGCAACAGCTGATTGTGATCCTCTTTTGATGACAGTCAAAGGTAAGAAAGTTTTCTTTTTACAAGTCCATAGATCAACAAACCCCTGAAACAAACCCTAATTATGATATTATAAAAGGACTTTGGTATACTATTGCCTGCTCCGTGTGTTAGACTGTAGTCATAAAGTGTTAGAGAAATCAACCTATGAGACTATTTTCGATTTATATTCTATGTTTGTTTTTTTACTGTCCAGTGATAACTGTATTACCATGACAGTAAAGTAAGGAAAAAAAGGACATACTGTATAAACTGTATTTAACTTTTGACAGAAAAAGGGAAGTAATGAGTGCAATTACTTTTATCACTTTTGATTAAAATGAAGATAAATTCTCACTTCGATTGCTGATTCTGACACTGTTGTTGAAATGAAATCTTAAGTAAAAGAAATAACATTTTTTACAGTTTGATCTGTAAAATAACAAGAAAAATTAAAGCCGCAAGCGGCGATGGACGGGTCGTCGTCCTATGCTTGTCGGCCTTCGCACACGGCGGGTTAGGGTTAGGGCGCAAACCTGCTCCGGGCGGGATTATGATCCAGCCTGTCGAGTTTGAGGCAGATCGGAGCAAGTGTGGCCTAGTTACGAGCCACTTCCTGTTTAGCGGCGAGCCGCGGTGGCGCGCGTGTTGGCCGGGGTGGAAACACGCTCTGGCTGAGACTTGGAGCACGCCTGTAAAATTTCAGGCCGATTGGAGCACAGACACAGCACGTCTCGTATTCTGGTGTTTTATGGCGTTGTGGCCAAATTCAGGGGGGCGCCATTTCCACGCCGTCACACTTGTTTTACTAACGTGTAATCACCACCTCCTGTAGTTTGTGCTGGCCAAATTTCAGGTGTGTATGACCTTCCCTGCAGGAGGAGATAGATTTTGAAAATGGCCAAAAATGTCCAGAAGTCACCCACAATCGCCAAAATTGTCACTGTGGTTTTTTCAAAATGGCGGACTTCTTGTTGGGTTTAGGACTTGGCACTAATTGACTTTTTGTACGTACTGACCTGCTACACATGCCCAGCGAATCTTGTCAGTGTAGGTGAAACGACCTTCCGACAATATTCAGTTGAATGCAAAAAACACAGCGAAAATGGACAAAATGACCATTGATCAAAATTGGACGGGCCACCATTTCCAAATCAGGCCTCATCTGCGGAGCGTTTGAAGAACATTTAATCACCATGTCATGTAGTTTGTGCTCACCAAATTTAAGGTGTGTACGACGAACCCCCTCGGAGGAGTTTGATTTTGAAAATGGACAAAAATGGCCATTTTTGAGCGAAAATGGCCCGACATGCTCGCCGTTTTTCCAACATGGCGGGTTTCCTGTTGGGTTTACAGAAACATGCCAAAGGTTTTTTTTTGTGCGTCATTAGTTGTTACATATGTGTGGCGAATTTCGTTGTTCTAGGTGAAACGTAGCGCCGACGGGACTCTGTAGAAATATTGTAGGGGGCGCAGTTGAGCCGTGTTGCATTTTAGACCTTGGTCCAGCAGATTTTTTTGTTCGTGCCAACTAGCTCTATATGCCTATGAAATTGCGAAGCTCAAGGGCAAACATGCTTCCGACAGGACTCCATTGAAATTTTCAAGGTGGCGCTATGAGCAATTTCTGTAGTGAGGTGTGTATTTTTCTTCCAAATTATAACATTTTTTGCCAGGTCTGATGTGTGTGGTGATTTTGATGAGTTTTCGAGTACGTTAAGGGCCTCAAAAACGCGTCTCTTTGTCACGAATAATAATAATAAGAATCCGAGCAGTTCCAATAGGGTCTTCGCACCCTTTGGTGCTCGGACCCTAATAATAATAATAATAATAATAATCCGAGCAGTTCCAATAGGGTCTTCGCACCCTTTTGGGTGCTCGGACCCTAATAATAATCACAACGGTTACAATAGGGTCCTTGCACTGTAATGCTCGGACCCTAGCAAATCTAGATGCAGACTAAATGTCAAAGTGTCAGCATTGGCTTTCAGAATCAAACACTGTGTCAGTGTTAAAGACAGTTTGTGATTAAATATTGTGATTAAAATGTAAAATGTTTGTTTGCTGTGAAACACAGATTCTCCATGGAGTCCCAGAATTGACATCTCAGGTGAACTGAAGGAGAAGGAGTCTGTCACTATCAGCTGCTCAGCTTTCACTCCCTGTCCACACTCCCCTCCTCAACTCACCTGGAATCTCCAACAGGACTCTCACAACCAAATAGAGGAAAACACAGACGGAACCTTTACAAGTAAAATCCAGCAGAGCATCACTCTGTCAGACACACATGATGGATACAACATCAGCTGCTCTGCCACATATCCTGTGGATGAAGGAAAACATGGAAAGACAGCAGAGACACAAGAGACTCTCCATGTTAGATGTAAGCGATCCTGATTGCACATCATGATTTATTGTTTGTGATTTGTTTAGCCTCTGATTCATCTTGCATGTTGTCCATTTTGTTGCATTTTCCTCAGATGCCTCCAAAGAAACGTCAGCATCCATTAGTCCATCAGGTTTGGTGTCAGCAGGTAGCTGGGTGAACCTGACCTGCTCCAGCAGAGCCAATCCTCCTCTCATCAACTTCACCTGGTTCATAAAAACCACAGATGGGTCCATGGAAGTAGCCAAAGGACACTTTCATAGGTTTAATATCACTGGTAAAGGAGTTTATTACTGTGAGGCCACAAATATCATTGGTAATCAGATGTCAGCTGAGATTCCTCTCACTGTTGAAGGTAAATATAGTTTTTTTTTGTTTTTTTTGTTTGTTTTTTTTTAATGAATCTGCTAATATAATTATTGAATGCTATTTGGAACCTTTTTTTAATGAATGGTGTCACACAAACTATAAAGTTAAGTTTGAATTTAAAGGCTTAGTGTTTAGGGTTTTGGCACCATCCAGTGGTGAGGTTGTAGACTGCAACCATCTGAGTACTAGTCCCTTCATCAAGTGTGAATTTTCAGCCCATTCTTATTCCTACCTCCATCAAACACTGTCCTCTTGTCAAAGCCACTTAAGGTTTTCTTCAATGAAGGCGCCAGCTGTGTCATTGTCTGACAGCAGTAGTTGTACAAGAGTTTTCCCAGTTTTAAAGAGCCGCATAAGGAGGCTGTATAGGTGGATTCAATGTCAGTCAGAGGGCTGTCAACCACAACTCTGAGGTTTGTGCCTCCATGTTGGACTTAGTTTGGTTAAGATGATTCATCAAAACTCCTTGCTGAAGGTTAGAGACAGATTGTGGTTTGGGTTTAAATACACTCATTCACCACATTAAACACACACTACAATAATGAAACCAACAGAGAATATTTCACTACGGACTTGTGGCACCTGATAAAGTATGTGATGAGCTGGGGGTGACACCAAAGCGTGTAGGGGAACCAACTGTGGTTCTCATATCAACGTAGAAGTTTCTGTCTACAGTCTGTGTTTGGTTTGTTGAATCTGTGCGACTGTAGAAAAATGGCGGGCTCTGAGGAAGAGAACCTGCTCCCTGTGCAAATATGAAAGGTTCATTCTAAACCAATGAAAACACAATGATTTGTAAATTGTACACTAATGATTGATGATGTTACTATATTCCATTTCTATCTACCTAAAACCTACATACTGTTCCTTTAATGTGAAGACCAGCATGAGTGTGTCCACATCAGTCACTTGATGTTTATATTGGTTTTCCTTCAGGTGAACAGCCTGGAGGCTCCTTCCAATGGGAACCAATTCTCGGAGGGATTATTGGGACCATCTTACTCATTTGCTTGATTATCTTTGCTTGGTAAGAATCACAGATCAAAGCAGCAACCATGGCACAGCTTCTTTCACTGACATTATTGCTGAACATCCACTAACATTTGTTTCTACATCATTTCCAGCCATGTCCAGTCTATTTACACACAGTATAGTTCATCTAACAGCATCTCATGTCTTCTAGGTGGTTAAACTCGATGCATCAAACTCAGCAGCAGGTGAGAAAACACTACATTTCCCAATAATGTGAACTTCTCACTGAACTTCTACTGAACTTCAAAAATGTCTCATTTGGTTCATTTTCCACAGAGTCAGACTGGTGAAGAGCCAGTTTATGAAGAGCCAGAAAGAAAAGTAGAGGAAGAAGAAAATAAAGAAGAAGAAAACATCCACTATGGAGAGGTCAACTTCAAGCAGAGACGTGAACCTTCCCCTGACTCAGTGCTGGACATCCAGCAGCAGCAGGACATAGTGTATGCAGAGGTAAAAGTCAACAAGCCGGCAAACAACCAAACACAGACAGACAATGGACCAGAGGAACTCTACGCTCAAGTGAAGAAAAACTGAGGCTTGTGTAATTTATCTAAAGACATATATTACATTTGTGTAAGTCACTGTAAGTGACAGTTTTGTGAAGAGAAACTAAGACCTTCAGCATCCTGCAGCTTTTCTTTTTTAGCTATGTTCATATTTGTGTGCTGATAGGTGCTATTGTGGGATTTGTTTATTATTTCTCAGATGTGTAGAAATAAATGTTCCAAAGGCATCAGTTCTGCAGATGGATTACATGTGCAAATATTTTGTCTGTGTCATTTTGTTTTAGATTATTTCATACAGGACATTGTGAACAGTAATTTTGCATATCTATTTTCTTCATCCATTCAAAAGCTGTTAGGAGAAAACTGTGTGCCTCCTTGTTTCAACTGTTATACCGCCTAAGTTATGGAATCACAGGAGTGCCATAATAAAAAATAAATGTTAAAAAATATAGGAATAAATGTGTAAATATAAAGAGGAACACATAAAAGAATAAATTTAAAAAAGGAAATATAAAGGTCAATTTTGTCTTTGCTTTTCCCCTTTCCATTTCTTTTTCCATTTTGTATTTTTTCCAGCAAGAACTTTTAACAATTGCTTGGTATGTGAAAGAACATTTTCAGCTGGACTACATTTTAAGAATGGTGGAAGATGTCAGCGAAAGTCTTGGGCAAATGTCTGTGCTGGCCAATACAGACATTGATCCAGATGTGTGGCACAATGTCTGTTCTTGTTGAACACCTCTCCTTAATTCCTCCACATTGTCACGGTGGGAAATCGGGGAACCCAGGTGCAGACACAGATCAGGCAGACAGGCAGGTTAAGTGTAAAAAGGATTTAATAAACCAGAAGTAAAGCTGAAAACCAATATAAAAAGTGCAAACTAAACTGAGTGGAAAACAGAATGGGATAAACTAGACTAAATTCAACAAAAGGCCAACCTACAAAAACCAGGGAAAACTCCAAACTAAGAACTGAGGGGAAAAAACCTAATGAATTGTAGGATACAAAAAAACAAATCTACTCAAACAAACAGGGATACTCACAGAAAGACACAAACGGAGGGGGCAGACAGGCTTGGCGAATCCAGGAAAAAGGGGACCAAAACGGAGGGGAAAGACAGACTCGGGGAATCCAGGCTGGGGACAGAGCAGGGACTGGCAGAAACATGCGGGAGGAATGTCTATGGTCCGCAGCTTGTGGCAGAATGAACAGAGTCTTTATGGGAGCTGTGGTGATTGCGTGCAGGTAAGTCCGGAGTTGTAGCTGTGGGTGATAGTCCTTGATTAGTGCTGAGATGCATGGGGCAGAGAAGGAGAGAGGGAGAGGGGGAGAGGGACAGAGCGAGAGACAGCGAGAGAGGAGGGAGAAGAGAGGGAGAAAAAGAGGGAGACAGGCAAGGGCTGGGGCTGAGGCTGGGAAGTCATGACACACATGACATATTTATTTTTCTGCTTTTCTCCAGTCAAACTGCATGTTCGTTTGTACTTCCTCTCAGCGCCAAAGTGACATCACTTCCCTTTAGCCGTGCTAGGAGCTAGCACCAAGCATAAATCTTGTGATCAGGTATTGACTACTCACCCTGGACAGATCAAAGCAATTTGATTGACAGCTCTGTCCATTAAGTAAAAACAAAATGGAAAAAGCAATGACAAAAGGAAAAGACAAAGTCAAAAGGAAAAACAATCCTCCTCCTCACTAAGCCTCTGCAGCTCCTTTTTCATCTCTTTCTCTCCTCCTCTAATTTTCTTCTGAAAAAAAGAAGAGATGTCTCTTGACTTTCTCTTCATGGTGTGAAAATTGACATAACATACAAGCAGCAGCTATTGACGTTAGCAACGTAACTCAGTTTTACATGTCAAAAACACATCAAATCTGCTGTAACAACATTATACTGTAACAATTTAGTACTTGAAAAGCACATGTCACGATGCAGACTTTCCCCTCTACTTTTACTAAAGAATATTTTGACTTATTTACTTACTGGTAGTCTTCTCCATCTTCTCTCTTAGCGCCTTTTGAGATCGCTGATCTCAGCTTGCCAGGCTGGCTGTGCATTTGGGATAGAATGCATAATGTAGGCCTATTGGTTACAGATTAACATATGCTGTTTGCAATAATTGTTGGTTGCGGACCATAATTATTTAAATGGCTAAAATGAACAGTTTTCTATATTAATGTGCTCATAATTTATATTAAATGTCACCAGGGGCCTCATGTACAAAGCGTGCTTATGCACAAAAACTTGGCGTACGCACTTTTCCACGCTCAACAATGTAAAAAAAGGTAATTCCTCAAAGTGATATGCACATCAGAGACACTTAGATGAACACTTAGCACACCCAGGTGTTTGCAATCAGATGAGCGGATATAAAAGTTTACATAAAATGGTGCAGAAGATACCGTTAACAACAATGGCGGCTTTGGCACTGTTGGAGGATATTGCCAATGGAGCAGCGCCAAGAGAACCGGTTTCCAGAGACCTCAGGACGACGACTGGATCATCAGCCGCTTTACGTTCCCGAGGGCAATTCACTTAGAACTGTGCGCGGAGCTGCGGCCATTCTTAGAGCGCAACACGTCCAGGAACCATGTCCTACCTGTGCCTATACAGGTGCTGACCACACTGGGCTTTCTAGCCACAGGGTCATTTCAGAGGGAGCTGGCCGACCGACCCGGACTGTGCCAGTCGACAGTGAGCTGAGCCATGCCAGCCGTGTGGGTTGGAACCATCCGAATGTCAGCCAGATATATCAAATTCCCACACCACAGTTGAACAGGACGGCATAAAAGTGCAATTTGTAGCGACGGCCGGTTTTCCTGTTGTAATCGGAGCTGTCGACTGCACACACATTGCTATAGAGGCACCATCACAAGATGCATTTGTTTATGTAAACAGGAGGAATTTTTTAATTAAATCAGTGTACAGATCATCTGTGATGCGCAAATACAAATAAGTAACATTGCTGCGAGGCGGCCTTGATCAAAACACATTCACAACAGGTTGAGAACAGGCTACAAGCTGGCACTGTGGGTGGCTTCTTGGTGAGCAAGTCATTTAATTGTCCTAATATTAATCCCCCGACATGCATTAATGTGCGCCCCGGACGGGCATCAGCAGCTGGCTGTTGCGGCGGACCGGAGGATCGGCTGACGCCGGGGAGGCTAGAGGAATCCCGCGGGTCTGTGATACGAGGCTGGGACTGCGTCTCACAGTCTTCTCTTGCCTCACTGTAGGTTGGAAAATAATAAATTGAGTAATCTGACATGACACAAAGGTTTGATTTCCTCTTTGATATCCTGGCATGATTACGCAAGAACCTGTATCTTGTTTGGCTGCGAGCAGATTATTATATGACCCGTGTCGTGAATAAATCCGTGAGTTATACAATAAATATTTACCTTGGGGTGATCTGAGTGACCTACACTGTAAAAAAAAAAATCTGTAAAAAAACGGTAAAAGTACTGGCAGCAAAGTTTCCAGACGGATACCGTAAAATTACAGTAAATAACTGTTTTGCAAAATTACATACTATAAACTGTAAAAATACGGAGCAGATTTTACAGTCAAAATTAATTAAAATACATTATATTCAAGTTGATAAATGTTCAATATACTGTAAATTAACAGTCATATTATGTGAAAAAAGCATTAAAGAAGGATATCTTTCAGGTATATCTCTGTAAATTTACTGTACTCAAAAATCTGTAAAAAAAA